AAGGGAAGGGAAGGGAAGGGAAGGGAAGGGAAGGGAAGGGAAGGGAAGGGAAGGGAAGGGAAGGAGAAAAAGGGAAAATAAACTGAAGGAAAAAAGAAAATTAAAAAAAACAAACAAACAAACAAACAGAAAAACCAACCAAACAAACAAAAACACCAAACAACAACAACAAAAACCCAAAACCCAAATCCCTGACAGGGAGTTTTCCTCCAGCCCCTCTGGGGTTCAGGCAGGCTGAGGCTGTGTCCCACTGGAGCTGCCCCAGGGGTACAACCAGTTTATTTACAGAGTTGGCTTTATATTTAAACAGGTGTAGGGGGTGAGACCAGAGTTTTTCATGATAAAACCACCACAAAATGCCCAGAACGAATGGCTTTTGCTGCTGCTGTATTCATTATGCAGGCAGAGCTGGCCCTAATTAGATTATATGAGATTTCTTGGCTCACACCAAGCAATTCAGAAGAAAGAGCCTCGTTATTGATGGGACAAACCCCACAAAGCAATGGAGCAGAGTTTAATAAAGCAGAGAAGTATCAAAGAGAGAAAGGTTTTAATTCTTAATAAGTAGATCCATGGGTTTCATTAACCAGCGTTCAAAGGGGTTTTTTTAGGGTTGCTTTTATTACCTAATTAATTAAAGCCTGACCAATAAGATAGATTAGTCCAATGGAATTGCATCTTGCATTAATAGCAATACTAATTAATCACTGAGCTGAAGCATTCCTCTGCACTGAGGAGAAATCATCCCAGGGTGAATCTGGAGGGAAAGAGAAAAGAGAGGGGAAGGATGGGCTGAGCATGGCTTTGGGATTTTGGTTATCATGGCCAGTCCAGCGGACAAAGTGCAGGAATAAATGTAAAATAAACATTTCAAATGGCATTTTTTAGGTTTCAAATGTACTTTCTAACCCCTTCCAGGGACCATCCTTGCTCTGCCCCGTGCTCCATCTCCCCATCCCCAGGGTGAGCAGGGAGTGATGAACCAGGATTGAACCACAGGGGAGGATCCCAACACCTGGGAGCTCCCACAAACAGCCTGAACTGCAGGGAATCCCCGATGTGACATCAGACCTCCTGCCCTTCTCCTTATCACACACTCCCAGCCAGGAAAATAAGGGGAAAAAAATAAAGAAAGGGAAAAAAAGAAGAAAAAGGGAAGGAAAAGGAAGGGAAGAAAAAAAGGGAGGAAAAATAAGGAAAATAAAACAAAAGAAAAAATTAAAAAAAAAAGATAAAAAACCCCAAACAACCCCAGCTGTGTTGAATCTGATTTTTCTGCCACCAAATGACGGATAATCATCCTGCCTGCTCTCCTCCAGCTCCCCCAGATCCCAGCTCTGCCGTGGTGCACTCAGCTGCAGGCAGGGAAGCAAAAGGAAAGGAGAGGGAATCATTTGCACATAAATATTAAAAAAAGAGAATCTGTATCTCCCATATAATTTGTTTTTTCATTAAGCAGCGTCTGCGAGCACGGGGATATTTGATCTATTAAAAATGCTTCTTTAAATACTCCTTCTAGAGTTAATTTTTCCTCCTGAAGCTGCTGCAAAAGCTCCATCTCCTCTGGAACACAGCAGGGGGAACAGCAGTGTTTGTTCAGGCCAGAGGTTTGGATTCCACACCAAGTTCTGTGCCAGAGCCACGCTGCTGTCACAGCCCAGGATGGTGATCCATGGAGCTTTCCAAGAGCCATTCATGTCAGCAATGACTTAATCCCTGTGAACATTATAAATAATTAACAGTATGCAGACTGCCATTATTGGAAAGGCCCCGGGCCTTACCCAGCGAGTGATTTCAATTATTCAAAAGTATTAATAAACTGAAATATTCCTTTTTTTTCCCCATCGCTTAATTTGTCTGGGTTTTTTGTATTTTAGAGCACCTGCCTCGAGTGTGGAAAAGCCAAGGGAGTTCTCCCTGTGATCTTGCAATGCCAAGGGAATTCTCCCCACAATCTCCAGATTCCAGGGAGTGTTTCCCATGATCTCCAAATTCCAGGGAGATCTCCCCATGATCTCCAGATTTCAAAGAGTGTTCCCCAAAATCTCTAAAGTCCAGGGAGTGCTCCCCGCAATGTCCAAAACCAAGAGAGTTGTACACATGATCTCCCAAATCCAGGGAGTTCTACAATATCCCAATTCCACAATATCCCAATTCCACACTATCCCAAATCCACAATATCCCAGATCCAGGGAGTTCTACAATATCCCAATTCTACAATATCCCAATTCCAGGGAGTTCTCCCCACAATATCCCAAATCCACAATATCCCAGATCCAGGGAGTTCCCCCCACAATAATCCAAATTCCAGGGAGTTTTTCCCCACAATATCCCAATTCCAGGGAGTTCTGCCACCACCTCCACTGTCCCCAGGGCAGGGGGCACTGGGGCACTCCCAGTCTCACCAGTTGCTCCCCATGGGGACTGGAACTCCTCCCTGGCCCCAGTAAATCCAGCCCTCATGACCAAGGCTGGGCTGGGGCTGCTCCCGAGTTCTCCTCCTCCCCATCCCTGCAAACTGCCAGGCAACAAAACCTTTGGGGGAAAAAAGGTTTTTCAGTAAAATGGTTCCAAAGCAGCGGCCTCTCATCAGTGTGGGCACAAAGGAGGCTGAAGGGCACACAGCAGCTCCAGGCAACATTTATAGGTGTCTTTAGGTGGATAAACCACACAAGAGGCGATCAGGGGCACAAAATCCCTCCCAAAACGCAGTTCCAAGCCCGGATAAAGGTGAACATCTGCAGGAATGAGAAGTTCAGTGTCCCTTCCCTCCCGGGGGTGCTCTGGACAGCGCTGATCCCGCATTTTCCCAGGTGTAAATCTGCTTTTCCCAGCTGTAAATCTGCTTTTCCCGGCGCTGGGGCCAGCGGGGTTTCGGTGCTCATGCAAAGCCCCGAACCGTGGCACAAGGGAGGGCTCTGCTGGAGCCAGCCGGAGCTACAGCACCGCACTGCTCTGGCCGGCTCTGAAACCCGGCTGCTCTCCTGCATTTCACCCTAAAAAAGCGAGTTTGCAATCTCATCTTTGGATTTTAAATCCTGCATCACCAGCGATCCTACTCCACTCCAGTCTCTCAGGAAAGCAACAATGGCAGAGTGGCGTTTTTGGAGATAATTCCTGAAATGTGGGCTGGAAAAGCTGCAAGCAAAGCACTCAGAGCTGCTCAACCCTGTGGGAGCAGATGAGGCAGGTGACAAGCTAAGGAATGACAGCAAGCAGAGACTCCGCTGATCAATGTGCAGCCACAGGGAGAAAACCATCCGAGCTGGGGTGCTTGCCCCAAAATCAGCATTTCAGCCCCTTTACACTCACTTTGGAATTGCCTCTTAGAAATCTGAATGCAGCAAAAGTAAAGCGAGGCAAAGATCTCATTATCCAAAAACCCAGAGGAACTTCAGAACCACTGCAGAATCCCCATCCCCAGTGTTCCACAGACATTTCCCAGGAACGTGGAGCTTGATCCAGACACAGCAAAAGTCCTGCCAGCCCCAACAGCCACTCACCAGCGCTGCAAGCCAGGAAACAGCACAGAGATAATGGCAATCAGACAGAAAACAAATCCAGGAGGGAAAGGCAGCAAAGGAGAACAATAAATCACAGTGATGGTCAGGCAGCTCATTTCCACGTTCTGTTCTCAAACCCAGCACCAGCTGTTTCCCAGGCTGGTTCTCCATGGGCTGGAGAGAGCCCAGCAAGGGTCTCAGTGCAGAATTCCAGGTTTTCCATGGACTGGACAAAGGATTGGGAATCCCAGCAGGGAGGTCAGGACCTGCTCATGAGTCTACTTCACTTATCCCACACCAATCCCTGCTCTCAGCTGTCCCCAAACCCTCATGGAGAGAAGGGGGAACAGGGGGAGAAGAAACTGAGGTGGGTTTATTCTCCTGCAGGAAGGATAAATGGAATTGTCCCAGCTCTAACCAGATGAAATCCCAGTGTACAGAGGGTGCAGGGAGATCCCCTACAGGACAAACACACATCAGAGTAGTCAAACACACTATTTTTTAATGGAGATTTGCAAAAGGCAAGCCAAGTGTTGAAAATTCAGGACATTTCATGAAAGCACATTTGGTCCTCTTCCAAGTTTCCTCAGTTAAATACTTCATGGATAAATAACAATTAAGCATACATGGCACTTTCAGTTCAGAAAACTTGATATTGCACATGATACCAAGAAATACAAGAGTCTATTTCAGCAAATGATTCCAGCACTGTTATCAGCTCCATTTTGATGCCATTGTCTTGTACAAAAGCTCATTTTAGTCCACAACAGGTGCCCTGTCCTTACAGAGTAAAAACGTATCCAAGCAGTTTTAGAGCAAAGAGGGAGAAAAGTTGGCTCCTGAAGGAACACAGTGTCTTTTACCAGCAGCTTCTGGGAGGATAAAAGCATTCCCATGGAAAGATGACTGTCACATCACCTGGCAGCAGAAATTCCACACCAATTCCCAAGGGAAGCTGACCCTGTTTGCCTGGAAAGCTGCAATTCCTGTCTGGGCTGCTCTCATTCTCACCACCTTTCACTACTCCTGGCAATCACAAGGAAAACACAATGGCAAAGGAGTTGTGCAACTTCCTCCCAGTCCTGGAATTGTCTCTGGAAAGCTCTGGAATGGATTCTGTGCACAGTGCTGGGCTGGGAGCCTCCCTGGGTTCGGGAGCTCAGACAGCACAGTCACAATCACCATCACAGGGAGAGGGCCAAGTCACAGCCAGGGAGCTGAACTGGGAGCCAGGGACAAACTGGAGCAGCAGGAGCCACCAGAACCCTCAGGTGTGTCTGTCCTGGTTACCCTGGCCATCCCCACACTCTGCCCACCCCGTGAGCTGCCCCAGCCCCTGGGGGTGCTGGGCTGGGCAGGGCGGGCCCAGGAGCAGCACCGAGAGCCCAGAGCTCTGTGAGGGCAGCAGTGCCCCTGCCACCCTCCTGCCCTGCTCACCCTGCACCCAGCACTGCCTGAGCCTCCCTGCATCGCAGCACCTCCAGTCCCGCTTTCCCCTGAAACACAAACTCAGACACTGCAGAAACACCTTTGGCAAAGCCAATGCCACAGGAGCTGGAATCACCAGCTGCCTCAAACACCAAGGCAACCCATTCTATTGCAATATTTTGGGAAATTTTAACCTATTTCCCTGTCCCCCCTCCAACCCTTCATCCCCTCAAACACACATAATAACACTAAGAAGACTTGATGATAATTTTTTTTTTGCCTGAATACAAGATTCAACTATCATGGAATAGAAGATTCTACAACAAAGTCCCTGAGATGCATCTGTACATTAAAAGATTCCAACAATAACCTCTCCAGCACAAACTTCATATTTATTAGAAATGTTTTGAGTTGCAACACGTGGTTTATGAAAACCAATGTTGTTGTAAGAAGGTGAAAATACAGCAGATCAAGTTGCCCTCGTATTTATGCCTCAATTTAAAAGTCATTAACCCAAAAATGAAATTCTACTACTTCAACTGTAGTCAAAAGTTAGAAGTATATAAACAACGACCAGAAAAAAAACCCAACTTGGTATATTTAAAATAGTTGTTTTGGCCTCAGTTTGTTGTCATCCCTCAAGCCCTTAACTGCCTTCTTCCTGAAAGTTCACAGATATTTTTCCAGTATCTTCAAAAAAACTCCAAACACCTCTTCTTAAGTGACTTTGGGTTCCGCTGTATTTTGCAACCCACTCATCAGAAATACTTTTCCATCTTCCCAAGGAAGCTCAGATTTCCCTGGCAGTGAAGAGAACTTAAGGCACTAACACATGAATCCTGTCAGGAATGTGAAATAGTTTGTTCTTCATGTACTGTGACACCAGTTCTTAGCAGCATCTCTCCTGAAAAGGCACTGAAAACTTGGCAAACAAGGAAACTTTGGGAACTTCTGCCTGAGTGGCTCTGCAATTCCCCCTCCCAAAAAGGCACCTGGATTGGTTTGATCACTGGTTTCTGCAGCCACAGGCTCTCACAGCCCTGCAGCTTCTATCAGCTGGGGCTGGGAGGGATGTCACACTCTGCCAGCAGCTCTCACACCACCAGCACTGATCTCTCCAAGAGTACACAGAGCAGTTTTGTTTCAGCAAACCCAGTGGGTTCCTACCTGAGTAGACCTTTAGGTTGTGTATTGCTAGTCAGAAAAATTCAATAGTTCAACTTGGTGTAAAAAATTGCACTTCCCCACTCCTTCCCCAAGCCCCGAGATCATTTCAAATTAAACAGCAGACCCTGCTCTAGAGGGACATTTGTAACACAGCTACAAGGAGGCAGCTAAGTGGCACAGGCCAATTTGCCTTCTTTTTCTTTTAAAATAGATTCAGCCTTCATTTGCAACAACATTTCTCATAGAAGTCTTGAAACAAGAGCTGTTTGTTCAGGGGGCACGGGAGGTTACCCCAGCTCGGAGGAATGAGCTCATCTCCTGGGTGTCCACTGGGGACACTGGGGGACACTGGGGGACCCAGCCTTGCAGGGGGCAGCTGAAGGGGAGGAATGTCTGCAGAGCATGCCAAGCTCCCCCAAGTTCCCCTGCAGTCCCTCAGATCAGCCCCACCATTCTGTCGATCTGCCTCATGTAGTTGCTCTTCAGGGGCAGCAGGTACCTCCTCTCATCGGGGACTCTGTTACACTGTTGAGAAAATTTACATCTTTTTAAAGACTCAGATCCAAACCCAAGCAAGCCCATCCCCTCTGCAATCCCCTCAGATCCTCCCAGTACAGAAAACTGTACCCAATAACACTTTTTCCCCCAACTTTCCCTTGTTCTGTGCAGACTTGCAGCACAAATCCCACAAATGAGCAGCAAGTGTTTCCTCAGTGCAGGCTGCAGCTTCCAAACACACAGCACAGCTTGTTGTGCAACTGAGATTTCCTTCACTATGACAACTGTGAACGTTTAAAATAATGCTCTTTTCCTGGAGCTCTGTGGGGAGGAGGGAAGGAGCCACACCAGAACCTACCAGGAGATATTTTTTAAATTGTCCTTAACTGCTCTAGTGGCAGGTGTCCCACTAGGGGTGGAATGAGGTGATCTTTAAGGTCCTTTCAACTCCAACGTTCTGCGACTAAACCAGATCTGTTTTGGTTGGTGATGGGCACTGCAGCCACAGCTCTGGGGCCAGCTGAGGCCTTGCTGAGAGAGGTCCCCTTTTACATCCCCCAAAACCCCACTGAGGAAGACAAAGCTGGGTTGAGATGACCCTCTGCTTCTCCCTTTGCCCCTGACAGCAACACTGGCGAGTTTTAAGGGCAAAGAAAAGGGGAAGGGAAAAATAATTGGAAGTAAATTAACAAAGAGCAAAACAATTGCTGCAAAACACTTCAAAGGGGACAGGTTTCACCTTCACCAGCATCCCACACATGATGCCATTTATGCTGCTGCAGAAAGTGCATTTCAGGGGAGCTCCTCAGGTGTTTGACATTTCTAAAGGGAACTCTCTGCATTAGCCCTCCCAGAGGCTCAGTGTGTCCTGGCTGCCCCTCCCCAGCCCCAGGCAGTGTGTTGCTTACGTTGGAGCTGAAGTTGGCTGCCTTGGGCTCCGAGGGTTTGGCTTTGAGGCCGTGCTCCCCTGCAGGCAGGATGTCCTCCCACAGCGAGCTCCGGAACCGCCCGTCCACAGACACCACGTGGCCCTCAGTGGTGAACATGAACTTATTGCCAGACCTGTGCACTGGGTTCTCCTCATCAAACAGCTGAAGGAGAGACAGGAGACACAGGGACTGTACTACATCAGTACTAAACATGAACCTATTCCAGATTTATGCACTGGGTTCTCTTCATCAAACAGCTGAAGGAGAGACAGGAGAGACAGGGACTGTACTACATCAGTACTAAACATGAACTTATTCCAGATTTATGCACTGGATTCTCCTCATCAAACAGCTGAAGGAGAGATGGGACAGACAGCCATTGCAGGTGTGCCCCATCCTTCACCTCCCAGTAACAAGCAGCTGGGAACAGGTACTCACACTTTGAAGGATCACACAAAAATACCTTTTAGTGCTAAATAATGCTGGAGCAAATGGAAATAAATAGTCTTAATGCAAGGGATTGATCTGAGTAGTTAGAAGAGGAGAGCAAAAGAAAGACTTCTCACACAACTTAAAGTGCCCTTATTTTTCTAAGCTGCTCTGTGAGGCATTTCTAGGCTGGCATCCACTCAGTCACAGATTTATTTGGTTTTCTGCACTAAAGGAGATTGAGAACAGGGGTTTAGGCAATGCCAGCCCAAATGCTTTCTCCGGTGAGTGCCAAAGCCCAGCAGGGAGAAAGCAGAGGCTGCCCCAGGCAGGAGGGCTGCAAGCAGCACTTAGCTCAGAGCTGAGCAGCAGCTCCCTCCAGTCCTGCTCCCTCTCCTTCCCAGCCTCTTCCCAAAGATCTGCAGCTCTCCAGGTGCAGGAACCACACCTGGGCAGCTGCTGCAGCTCAGAGAGTGCGGTGAGGTCAAAGAAGAGGAGCTCAGCTGAATCACTCCCACACACAAACCCCAGAGCCCAGCAGGCTGTCATTAATGATGCCCCATCCCCAACCCAATTTAATAACTCCTGCCCACTCCTGTGCAATTTTTGTGCAGTGCCTTGCAGTGAGGAGCACACACGTACCAGGTACAAATATTTACAGGTTTCACTGAGGAAAAAGCTCTCCATTCGATCCTCCTTGGTCTTCTCCACCACGTGGTGCAACGTGGCATAGCCACACCTGCAACATTGGACAGGGTTTGGGATCAGCTCCAGCCCTGCTGCTCTCAGACACCCCCTCACCTCAGAGCGTCCCAGCAGCCAGGGGAAGCTCCAATGGAACAGCTGTGCTGTGCAGCACTCACTGGGTATTGGTCTGTGATCACCTGAACCCCACTCACCAGCAATGCCTGACCTGGCCAGCCATCACACATTTGTCTAGAAAATGAGTCAATTAATAAAAAGGAATAAAAATTCACTGTCTTCCCCCTGAGCCTTGCAAGAAGTTCAGCTACTCAGTGTTAGAGTCAGGATTCACTGCTGCTGTCTTGACTGGAAGCTGATATCCAACAGCATCTGCCTTAGGGGCCATCCCTCAGTTCAGCTAAACACCAGGAGGGGAGAAATAATCTTGCAGGACCCCTAGGAAAAATCCCAACTACTGTTTTCAGCAGTTTTTAGCAGCTGATCATCAGCAGTGCATTTTGAAAGGCAGTGATAAAATTCCAAAGGTATAAAGTTATCCACTGGACTATAATTTCATTTTCAGATGGGAAAGAAAGAAGTGCTCAATAAATAAATCATCACTTGTGGCTTTCAAGGAGGGCTGGGTTTTCTGGTTTACCTACATGTGGCAGACTGGATTCTATACAATATTTGTAGAATAAAATATAGATATATAGCACTGAGAGAAGAAAAGAACATTGAAGACTGACTTTGCTTTTGTATATTTTTCCAAACTCTGCAGAATATCCATTCCCACATGAAGGTAAAACGGGTTCTTTGTGGCCTAAATAAGGAAGACAGACAAGAGTTAGAGTCAGCAATTTTGAAATCCTGTAAAAATAACACAACAAAGGCCTATTGGTACCAGAGTCTTGTATCAGCAAACTTATCTCTATGGGAGCATGACTTGGATTAGCCAGTGCAAGCTTCTCACATTTGCTTTAGAGCAAATCCTGGAAAACCTGCAGTAAATCCAAACTCTCTGATCCCCTCCTTGTAGGCAGACAGTTATTTTAGTTTATTGTAGCTGTGCCTGGGCAGCATTGCAAGGAAAGCTCTTACATTTACTTCAGCAATTTTGGTTGAGCAGTCACAGGTCTCTGCCTGGTAAAAATCTGCCAGCAGCTTTTAGAAAAGGTGGTTTTGTGTTGTTTTTGCTTGCCTTATAAAAAAGGCTGTTTTTGAAGCAAACACCAGAACAACAACGTTGCACAACCCTGCAGTGCCTGCCCACAGACTCCACAGGACAGGAGGCAGCTCCAGGGCTGCCACAATTCAGCTGGCCAGAGGTCAGGGGGATAAAGTGACTTCCTGAACAAAAGCTTTTTGGCCCAGCCAGGACGTGCAGCTCAGGGAAGGCAGATACCTGGTACAGAAGATATGTGGACTCCACCAGCTCTGGCCTCAGGGGGTAGAAGGGAACATCTGGGGCCTGCAGCTGCCAGTTGTACCTCTCTGGGAGAGCCCCATAGCGTTTCCAGATGGCATAATAGAAGGCATGGAGGCAAATGGCATCTTCCACATCCCCTATCAACACCTGGGCACCAGAGCAGCCAGAGATACGCACACTTAGTGCTGCAGGCCAGCAAAGATGAGAGTGTGGCACCTAAAACAACTCTTCTCCCATAAAACACACGGAAAACAACCCCCCAAGAGTACTACTGTATTCACTCTTTGCAGTAAAAGCTCTAGCAGAGCCTCACAGCACAGAACACAAATGCTGAGGCTAAAAGAGGGAAGTTGAAAATCTCAGATCTAGCAGAGAGCAGGCCAGGGCTCCCCACATGGCTGTGTTAATGCAGGGCTGAACTGAACTCTGCAAAGCCACAGGTGGGAGCTCAGCTCAGGACTCAGGCTCACTCCCAGCCCAGAACTCAGGCTCACTCCCAGCTCAGGACTCAGGCTCACTCCCAGCCCAGAACTCAGGCTCACTCCCAGCCCAGAACTCAGGCTCACTCCCAGCCCAGAACTCAGGCTCACTCCCAGCCCAGAACTCAGACTCACTCCCAGCCCAGAACTCAGGCTCACTCCCAGCCCAGAACTCAGGCTCACTCCCAGCCCAGGACTCAGGCTCACTCCCAGCTCAGGACTCAGGCTCACTCCCAGCCCAGAACTCAGGCTCACTCCCAGCCCAGGACTCAGACTCACTCCCAGCTCAGGACTCAGGCTCACTCCCAGCCCAGAACTCAGGCTCACTCCCAGCTCAGGACTCAGGCTCACTCCCAGCCCAGGACTCAGGCTCACTCCCAGCTCAGGACTCAGGCTCACTCCCAGCTCAGGACTCAGGCTCACTCCCAGGCCAGGATTAGGATGGGCCTTCCCACATGGCCTTTCCCAGCAGGACAGCTCACCTGCAGCCCAGGGAAGAAGGCCTGCAGAGAGTCAATCCAGGTGTTCATCAGCTGGCCCGTGTACATGTTGACGTTGACGTAGAGGGGAGGGTCCCCTTCTCCTTCATTGCAGGCCTCCCTGCTGCAGGGACAATGCAGGAACAATGACAATGCAGGGGCACAATGCAGGGCACAATGCAGGGCACAATGCAGGGGCACAATGCAGGGGACAATGCAGGGGACAATGCAGGGGACAATGCAGGGCACAATGCAGGGGCACAATGCAGGGGCACAATGCAGGGACAATGTAAGGGACAATGCAAGGGACAATGCAAGGGACAATGCAAGGGACAGTGCAGGGACAATGCAGGGGCACAATGCAGGGGCACAATGCAGGGGCACAATGCAGGGGCACAATGCAGGGGACAATGCAGGGGACAATGCAGGGACAATGCAGGGGACAATGCAAGGGACAATGCAGGGGACAATGCAGGGGACAATGCAGGGACAATGTAAGGGACAATGCAAGGGACAGTGCGGGGACAATGCAGGGGCACAATGCAGGGGCACAATGCAGGGACACAATGCAGGGGACAATGGAGGGACAATGGAGGGACAATGGAGGGCACAATGCAGGGCACAATGCAGGGGCACAATGCAGGGGCACAATGCAGGGGACAATGCAGGGGACAATGCAGGGCACAATGCAGAGCACAATGCAGGGGACAATGCAGGGCACAATGCAGGGGCACAATGCAGGGCACAATGCAGGGGACAATGCAGGGCACAATGCAGGGCACAATGCAGGGCACAATGCAGGGGACAGTGCAGGGCACAATGCAGGGCACAATGCAGGGGCACAATGCAGGGGACAGTGCAGGGCACAATGCAGGGGACAGTGCAGGGCACAATGCAGGGCACAATGCAGGGCACAATGCAGGGGACAGTGCAGGGCACAATGCAGGGCACAATGCAGGGGCACAATGCAGGGGACAGTGCAGGGGCACAACGCAGGGGCACAACGCAGGGGCACAATGCAGGGGACAATGCAGGGGACAATGCAGGGACAACGCAGGGGACAAGGCAGGGCAGTGCCTCTGCCTGGGCAGCACACAGCACACTGCCACAGCTCAGGCAGGCACTGCTCTGCTCTGCTGGGCCCCTTGTGAAAGGAACCCAAACACTGTCATGCTCTCAGAGGAGTTAATTCATAAAGGGATGTTAATTCATACAGGGATCATATCTTAGAGCTCTGCCAGCAGAATTTCTACCAAAAGTCATGCTAGGCAGGATGAGGCTTTCAGAAGAACAAAGCAGACAATTTAATACATTTCTTTTGCAGTGCCAGACTTTTCTCAACATTTCTAAATGGGACAGGAAGCAGTCTGGCTTCTCTGCACCCCATCAGCTGCTGAGGAATGAGGAGACTACCACGGAAAGGGGATTTAAGAACAGATTTTCTAGAGCCTGACACAAAGCACCACAAACAGATGTGTTTCAGATCCTGCTGGAGGATCCACTGCTCAAGGAATTGATGCTGACATGAATCACATACCCTCTCCTCAAGTGGTTCTGAATGTTCTGATAGGCAGAGTTGAACATGTCCAGGTCTTCCTTTTCCCCAAAGAGGATGTAGGACTTCAGCAGGTACTCATAGAACGAATCTGACCCTGCTCCCAGTCCACTCTGCTTTCCAACCCAGTGACCAGTCTGGATATTCACAACATTTCCTTTCAGAACAAACAACAAGTTTAGTCTGAGCTTGCTGAGTATATCAGAGAGAAACAATCCAGTCAAGACTTGGCAATATCACGGGTTCAGAAATTCCCAAGGAGGAAGAATCAAAGATTAACATCAGATGAAGTGTTACAGCGGTGCATTCATCTGAGGAACACCCACACACATGCAGTTATTTTAAGTACTTTGAGTTATCTGCCAATCTGAATTATATTAATGGGGACACAAATCAGGGCCTTCAGTTCCATTCCCCAGTTTTGTGGAAAATTTGAGTTGAAAACCTGTGCCCTGAGGAGTCTTTCAGAGACTCCATTTTTCTTGGAAAGCCCCAAAGTGCCATTAGTTCAACACAAGCCCCGGGTACACAAGGAGAACGTGAGTGAACAGCTACAGAGGGAGCAGAAGGACAAAGGTGAGGACACGTGAGGACACAGCAGCACCCAGACTTTACCCAGCAGTCCAGTGTTATTGCTCCTGAGGCTCCACAGGGCCTTCACAGCTCTCCTGGCCACCCACTCGAAGGTGGAGTCTCCAAGCAGCCTGCTGAGGATCCCAAACTCCACCAGCAAGGACCCAGCTCCTGCTGTGCACGTCTCGTTGTGGCTGTCTGGGGGAACCCCCTTCTTCAGGTTCACCTGTGGGCAGGGACAGGCTGCACTCCCAGCTGTGCTCACAGCTGCACCCTCCCTTTAGCACAAGCCTTTCTGGTGCACATAGTGCAGCATGGAACGTGCACAGAGACACAAAACCAGCACACTGGGAAAGCTTTCCTGTAGAATTCCTGACACTCTTCTTCCAGCTTTACAACAGCATGCCTAAAGTGGGCAAGCCTCATTTTTCTCTTATACTTGCTAACCCTTGCAAACTTCACCATTTCATGCCTTCCACTAAACATTCAGGCTTTTCCTTCTTTGCTGCCCCTCAGTTTGTGCTGGTGAAACCAAGAGCTTCCTCAGTGGATGCTCCTCCCCTTCCCCATGGGACAGGGTGCTGGAGGGAAGTTACAGCACCCTCAGCTGCTTTACCAGGCTCTGAACAGAAGTGAAAATTCACATTTCTAAATTCACATTTCTACAGGGGGAAAAGCAGTGCTGCTGTCTCCAGAAATTAAGAGCAGCCAGGCAAGTGCTAATTATAGTTTTGCAGTTTCGGATTGTTCCAGTGGTAGTGACATCCTCCTCCCTGCCAACTGCATCTGCTTAAAACAAGAGGCTGCAGCATCCAGGAATCCCAGAGTACTGAGACACACTGAGCAGTCTTCAGGAAAATTATAAACTGCAAGCCCAGGATGATAAATATTTCAGAAGAGTTTTATTCTAACAGAATTGTTTTAGTAGCAAGTCCCCAAAGAGTCACTTTCCTGTCTTTGCCTTTACAGTACTCCTTGTTACTGACAGCATTGTTTGCTGCTGTGTGACACAGGGCAGGGAATGCTCCACCAACCAGCAAGGGAACAAATGACTCCTGAGCCACAGGGAACAATAAACACACTGAAAATCAGCCCAGGGAAAACATTCACTAGTCAGAAGGAGCAAACTGTACTATCCATGTCACCAAAACTCAGGGCAGTTTCCCCTGTGTCACTTCAGAATAACTTAGGGCAGGCTCAATACCCCAAGTGCACATAAAAGGGCACCAAACTGAAGGTGCAGCACAGGTGAAACTGCTTTGAGCCTGTTTCCCCAGGGCTGCTGTCACTCACCCGAGGATAGGGAATGCCAGTTTTGGTGTTCTCAAAGGCTGGCAGCAGCCTCACTGCCAGGTCATGAGCCAGGTGCAGCAGCTCATTGTCATAATCCTTGATGGTCATGTCACCAAAGGGCTGCTTGGTGTCTGTAATGATGATGTGGGCAGACAGCAGGCTTCCCAAAACCCTGTGGGAAAAGGAAAATCCAGGTTCTCAGTCTGTTCTGAAGCTCATTCCTCACCTAAACACCTTACTGCTGTCATGTCTGACAGAATTATGACTTTGTGCTCCTTACAGGCACTACACAAAATGACCTGGCTTTTCCCCCAGCAGTAGTGAACACATGTAGAAGTCATGCTGTTGTCAGCCACAGTTCCAAAACCTGGTTCTGCAAAATTTACCTAACCCAGGAGTTGCTGGAACAAATCTGTTTAGGAGTGAAGACCTCCTTGTCCCTGCAAATGGCAGAAAGGGTGTTGCATAAACTCAGTACCCAGAAAAAAGAAAGCCTAGCCATGTGAAGCAGGAATAAACACTGCTTGAGGCACTCAGAAAACAAAACCCTTTAAACTCAGACAGTATCTACACCCATTTCCAACACAGAAGAGTCTTTTTCATCTAAAATGAAAATGAAAGTGAGCAGAAGTCCATGAACCAAAAACAGAGCAGGGAAAAGCTGTCCCAGGGCTGTTTGTTGATCAGGGCACAGATCTGTCTCTGCTGCAAGCCCAGAGCCAACCACTGCCTCACTGCTCAACGGGACTGATTAAAATCGTTTCCTATATGAAAGGATGGAATATTTTCATAGGAGATTAAGAAACAGCTTACTTGAGGAACCATTTAGGGAATAAAGCCTGCCAAAGACCTCCTAATCAATGATTTCACTGTGAATCACACACACCAGATCTTTAACCTTTAAAGACAGAAACTCAGCACCACATACCTGATTGTTGCCTCAAAAACTTGGACTGTTGAGTCTTTGTCAAATGAAACTGTGTCAATCACCAACTTCACTGCCTTCTGGAATTCTGAGGAGTTTCCCATTACCTGTTACAGAAAAACAAAGCTAGTTTGTACAATTGTTGCTTCAGAAGAGGCTTGGGGAAGAGAATGGCAAGTTAACATCTTAACCCAGCAGTCAGATTTAGCACACTGAGTATCCAAACTGCCTGAACTATCAGTTCAAGAGTTAAGGTTAGCTTAAAACGTAACACAACTCGCAGAACAATGAAGTTTGATTGAATGTTTATTTGACCAAAGGCCAGTCCAACCTTTCATGCTCCTGACCCAGCACTGCACACCCAGCAGTTCCCTTGTGCCTGACTCCCACAGGTCTAATCTAGGAATTGATTTCCACTGCATCCAGAGACATGTAAGTTCAGCCTGAGCTTTGGGGAGCAGGAATGGGGAAGGAAAACACAGGTTCCTGCTTGCCTGAGCTCATGAAAAGGCTGGGACATACCTACATTTTTAACAAAAGCACCAGGTGCCAGCTGTCCCCATCACCCAGACCCAGTGGGGAAGCATCATGTGTTGGTCTGAGCAATGGGGAGCAGAACAGGCTTGCCCCATGCAGCAGCTTCTGAAACACAGGAGATTTAGCAAGCAGAACCTTTACATGTGAGAAAAGAAGTTAAGCACAGCCCCACTGGTGATGAGGACAGGAAGGCACTGCTATCAGGCACGTAGCACAGATCCCAAACTTCTCTGTCAGTAAAACCCAACATCTCCCTCACTTCTGCTTTCAGTTCTGCTCCAGCAGCTCCTCACCACTGCTGCAGCCCAGGGTGGAGTGGGAAGGGTTTTATATCCCAAAGAGCCAGAGGAGATACAGATCCCTGTGGCTCCTGCACATCAGTGAGCCCTGACACTCCAGAAGGCACAAAGCCTGCCCTGGCTGCACAGATGAGAACAGTCAAACTGCTGGGGTCTCTGAAAATGCTCCTCCTCATGAGCCCATGCCCTGGCTCTAACACAGAACTGAGCTGCTCCTCACGTTATCTTTCAGTTTTAGCAGAAATGCAGGTGAGAAGCAGCCGTACAGGTTTTCCCCCCCTTCCTTTCACCACTTCACACAGACCAGTGTGTCAGTCAGGCCCTCTCTGCCAAGTGAAACAACCAGGGCTCTTCCAGCCACTGTGCACACAATGAACCCTCCTCCTGATGGACCTCTCAGCAGCTCACAGCAGCTCCAGCTCAAATCCACCCACCCCGGGCAAATCCCAGAGAGATCTCGTCTGAACCTTGGGGAGGAGCTCCAAAATTTCCTCTGTCTCTTCAGGAAATCTCTGCTGCCACCTCCAACTGCTCTCATTCTGTTACCCCATGTGACACTGCTGGTTTCTGATCCAGCTGTTAGCTCATGATCCAGCTGTTTGCACCACCTGGGCAAGCCTTGGGGAGCTGCCCCAGCCAGGGCAGTCCCAGGGTGCCCAGGGCAGTGTCCCCACACCAAGGACTCACCGCCAGCGTGTCCAGCGCGTCGATCAGCGTCAGGGAGTAATTCCCCAGCACATCATTGATGTTCAGGTTGGAGCTGGAAGAGCAGAATCACAGAATTATTAAGGTTAGAAGAGACCTGTGCAGATCATCCAGTCCAACCCCCTGTGCAGGCAGGGTCACCTGGAGCAGGTGACACAGGAACTATCCAGGTAGGTTTGGAATGTCTCCAAAAGGGGAAGCTCCATGACTCCTTGGGCAGCTGTTCCACAGCTCTACCCCACTATGCAAAGTTCATTCCAGTACCTGAAGGGAAGCTACAACAAATACAGAGAGGGACTGCAGTGACAGGATAAAAGGAAATGGCTTCCAGCTTAAAGGGAATAGGTTTATACCGGATATTAACAGGAAATTGTTCCCTGGCAGGGTAGGCAGGCCCTGGCGCAGGTGCCCAGAGCAGCTGTGGCTGCCCCTGGATCCCTGGCAGTGCCCAAGGCCAGGCTGGACACTGGGGCTGGAGCACCTGGGACAGTGGGAGGTGTCCCTGCCATGGCAGGGGTGGCACTGGGTGGGCTTTAGGGTTCCTTCCCACCCAAACCATTCCCCGATTCATACGGAGGTGAAACTCGCTGTATTTTAGCTTATGGCCGTTACCAACTGCGCCGTGGCTGGGCCCAGCCTGACCCCCAGGGAGGCACACACGGAGCGATGCCAGCCCGGAGCCGTGCCCACCCCGCAGGGCCCCACAGCCGCTCCCCACCGGTCGGTTCCCCACAGCCGTCCCCCCCACAGCCGTTCCCCGCTGCCGGCCGCACTCACGGGTCGCGGCGGTCGGGCCCGCGGCCGCGGCAGTGCAGCGGGTCGAGCTCATCGCGGGGGAAGGCGTGCTCCATGTAGCTGTCGTAGCCGAACACGAACATGCCCCGGGCCGCGTCCCGCAGCCGCGCCCGCAGCTGCGGCGGGAAGGCGCCGCTGTAGCGCCGCTCGTACTCATCGCCGCCCGCCGCCGCGCCCCACAGCCGGGCCCCGCGGCCCGCAGCGCCCGCGGGCGGGCCGGGCAGGGCTGGCGGCCGCGGGCCGGGGCAGGGCAGGCGCGGGTGCAGGCAGAGCCCGCGGGCCAGCGCGGGCAGCAGCGCCAGCAGCGCCTGCAGCCCGAGCCGCAGCAGCAGCAGCCCCAGCACCACCGACCGCCATCGCATGGCCGCCCGCGCATAGCGCAGCGGCGCCGCCCGCGCCGCGCCGCGGCCCCTTTAAGAGCGGAAGGGAAACAAGGGTCGGGAGCGTCCCAACGCCCGCCCACTCTGCGCTGCTATTGGTGGAGACGGCGCGGAGGAGGGAGTGGCCTCCGGCCATTGGGCGCGCGGTATGTCACTCAAAGGCACCGCCCTGCGGCGTTAAAGGGGCGGGGCGGCGAGGGGCTGTCGTGGCACGGCCGGCGCAGGGTCAGGGCGGGGCCCGGCAGCGGCGCGGCCTCCCCGGACAGGCCCGGGCCGGGAGCCCTGCCCACCGCCGGGCCCTGCCCTGTGGGCACTGCCCTGCCCTGCCCTGCGGGCACTGCCACAGCGCTCCCGGAAACGCCCCGGGGTGCCGGTGACAGCAGCGGGCAGCATGAGGAATTCCTCCATGGAAAGGGTGCTCAGGCCTTGGCACTGCCAGGGAGCTCTGTATTGCCCATCTCTGCGGGTGGCACCTGGAGGTGGCACTCGGGGCTCTGGGCCGGGGACAGGGTGAGCATCGGGCACAGCTGGCACTGCCTGGGCTGGGCGGGCTGTGCCAGCCTCAGTGATTCCGGGACTCTGTGACCGCGGCAGGGAAGGAGCCCGGCGGGGCAGGAGCCGCGGTCCGGGAGCTGCCGTGGGAGGGAGCCAAGGCACCCCCCGGGCCGGGATCCTGCAGGACACGGACACAGCGACTGCCATCCCGCAGTGCCAGCGCTGACAGGACAGTACATGAGGAGCAGAGCTCACACCAGCTGTGACCGCAGCACTGGTGGCCCCGGGCACTGCTCAGGGACAGAGCTGCAGGAAGAGAAGAGCTGACAGATACCAGGTGTGGATGTGGATGTGAGTGAACACACTCCAGCAGTACTGGTAAAACCTCTTGAAAATAAGCAAAAGAATAGAAGGAAACCACAGCCAGGGGGGTAAAGAGGAAACCCAGCTCTGAGCCACCCCAGCACCCTCAGCAGCACTGAGTCACTGGCTGTGAACTGGTCACTTGTCCCCGAGCTGAGCTGTCCTTCCACGCTGGTGCTGCATCCTTTTACCGAAGTGCCTGGTTGGTTACAAGGAAACGGGACAGAATGAGAAAAATGCCTGCACAGGAAAAAAAATAAAGGGCTTGTTATGCACACACAGACAAGCAGACAATAAAGATCTGTCTTCAGCCTGTATTGGAGAGTAGTTTAGGAGTCAGGTCTTTGTTTTCCAGTTATTGCAACAGGAAAACTAGAATGAATAAATCCAAACCAAGTATCACAACTCAGTGGTCCATCCAGACTTCTGGATGCTGACTTTGGATAAAATCCTCCAGCCTGGACAATCTTTCAGTTCCCTTCCTCAGTCTGCAGAATTCATGGATCTTTTAAATGTTACCCAAACCAAGAAGGGACTTAATTATTGATTCTAACAAGAGGAAAATTCCTTCTTCCTGCAAAGACTAAAGTATCCACACCCCAAATTAACACAATTACACAAAAGCACCTTAACAGTTTACTTACTCCTGAGAAAATTTCAGCTTTAAATTTCACACACCACAATTTTTTCTTTCTGTGCTGACAAATTTGCTCTGTTTGTTGAATAATATGGTTCAACCCAATGGGTCTGTTCAGAGAAACACAAATGAGACCAACCAATGCTTCCAGCACCAGAACATAATCAGGAATGGGAATTTCACAGCCTGGCCTTTCAAAGTTGCCCCCACTGAGCACAAGGTTTCCAGTCATTCTCCAGATGAAGTTATGTAGTTAAATTAGGTAATGAGGGTTCTTAGCTATTTCTAACAATAATAAATCAGCTATCCTACTACAGATGAGTATGCAAAAAAGTGGTTTTCAACAACACTTTATTGAAGCACTTCAAAATTATCACAATGATACATGTTGCCTTTAACAGAATAAAACCTGTCATGTCATAATTAAAAGGCACTAATCCTGGCACAAAGGTCTACTTACCCACCTTCCCCCGGGAGGGAAATAAAAACATCAAGTATTTCACTTCTCCTTTTACAGAGTATGTGCAAAGCCCCTGTGAGTGCCATTCTGAGTTTGCCACTGGAGTGGCACACAGAGAGAGCCCCTGTTTCACCAAGCCATGCTGAGCAGCAGCAGCTGCAGCCCTGAGCAGCAGAGCCCTCTCAGGGTCATGCTCCGGTGACACAAGTGCTGCACTCACCTTTTGGGAACTGAAGCCCTGAAGCTCAGGCACTCACACACATGATTTCTCCTTTGACACGATTCACTGTCCACGTCACCTCAGAAACACAGCTAGATCTGTTCTGCAGCCCTTTTTGGGATCCACACTGTCAGGTCAGGGCGGGAGCAAGGCAGGGGAGCAGCGTGGGCATGCGGGGGGAGCACAGTTCCTGCACAAAGCAAACCAGGACGTGCCACTGCACAGCCACAAACGATAAGGGAAACCTCAGGGAGTTCAAAGCTCGATAATCCTGCTAAGCCATGCCTCAGGTTATTACAGATCCCTGCACAACACTCCTAGAGTCAACAGACTGCTTAAGGCATTTTCTTTGGCCTTTACTTCTACCAGAAAGTGAAAATTATGCAGTTTGATTTGTCAGCACCCAAAATCTTTCCAACCTGTTTCCATCACGATGCAAAGGGAAAACATAAATCATTGAGGAACTGGATGATTGGTTCCACAGATGATGGAACAGCTGCACATTTGTGCATCTTTCCTGTTGCCAGGTGATGGGAAGGAGCTGCTCTGTGCAGCTGCCCAGCCCTCAGCTGTCCTGGGTGATGGGAGCTCCCCTGCTCTGTAACTGCACCTATGGAACCACCACCCACACTGCAGCTGGACAGGGACACTCCAAGGAAACTCCTGCAGAGCTGTGGGGGCAAGCACAACCCTTCCTCACCCATCTCTGCTGCTCCAGGAGCACCTGCACTGAACAGAGCCACCACCGAGGGCTGGGAGCTGAGTTAAACCCGGGACAGCACAGTGCCCACACCCCACAGAGGCAGGACTGCTGTCAGCCCCCAGGTATCCAGCACCACACAGGGTCTGCCTTTTCACAAGAGCTGCTTTTCTGAACATGCCAACAGTCAGGACCTGCATCAGGGGAGTTTCGTATGTGACATAAGTACGGCTATATTGATGTCAAATGCAATAAACTAAAATGCATTCCCAAAAGCAACTCTTGTGAAGAGAATGAGAAATTTAATCAGCCTCTTTTTACTGTCCATGCTCCCTACAGAGCCTGAGACAAGTAATCCTGGTGAGATTACATTTCTAGAACACAGCTGCAGCAGCCAAGTTCAGCAAACACCACTAATGCAGCTGGGCTCCACACCTTTATTAGGCCAGAAAAGATTTAACCTTGGACATAAAGTGCCAGATGAATGTTGTTTTCAGTCCAAGGCTGGAAGGTGTTGAGAAGGAAAGAATTCCTCCATTTTCAAAGAAAGGTACCTGGCAAGTTACTCAAGACCAGAACAATGCAGCCCCTCTGAGGGCTCCTTGCCGCCCCAGCAGCAGCCAAGGGCAGCTGGCAGAGCAGTGCCAGCACAGCTGTGAAACCCAGCTGGGCATCTGGGGTGTTGCAAATGGACCTTGTAGAGCACACACATCACGGGGGTTCCTGTGCCTCTCCCTGCTATTTACACCCAGAAACACAGTGGTACTGGGATAGCACATCAAGCAAAGAGCTGTGGGGCAGCTCACAGCACAGCTGATTTACTGAATGGCTGCTGCTGCTCTCACCCCAACCAGGCCGACAAGGCTTAGTGCACTAACACTGGGTTCACATTGGTGTCTGGAGACATTTTACTTTGACCATGAGCTGCAGGGAGCTTGTTTTGCATGCAGGACACTCCCAAAGACACATGCACAGGATCTTTAACAGGTCACTAGTCCTTTCCCCAGCTGAGTTACACATGAAGGATGCTCAAACACCTGCACTCAGGACTAAAAACTGACCTGACACAGCCCAGTAAGTCTGAAAGCTTACATGGAGACAAGCCTGAAACAAGACATCCAATTTCTTACCATTAACTGGAAGATGCTGACAGACACTCCTATTAATTAATCAGTGTCCTAAGAGAAATTAATACAACAAAAACCTTTGGGAAGAACAGTCAGTGAAACTTCACATTAAAATCACAGTAAAGATTTTGTTCAAGACCTCAGTCAACAAAAGCCTCACTTTCCACTGAGATAAGAATCCTTCTGCTTTAATTGGCAGTGAATGATCAGGCACTGCAAGATCTGCCACTTGTGTAGAAAAACAAAGGTTTTACTCTAGGCTCAACACAAGAACCAAGCTTGCAGACACATGCATTTCTATCTCTCCTGAAAACTGAGCTCCAGAAGGCTGCCCCTGCTTCAGACCCTGCAGCTGACCAGTGCTTTTCACACACACAAAAAAGCCCTGCAATCTGCTCAGACTGACTATCCCAGCTTGCTCAGGTAAGGGGAGCAAGCCCCAGGCCTCAAGGGTAGTTTTGTGAGCATTTCACTGGAAGAGTTGAACCACCGAATATAAATCAGCTCAGGTATTTACCAATCCTTCTTCCCCCACTGGAATCTTTGGCAGAGGAGACAAACATCCCATTGTGTTTTTCCATGATTTCAGCCACACCAACTCAAGTCAGGCAGTTAAGTGTCAATACAACCCTCAAAACATAAGTTTATTGAATAAAGCTGAAGAGCAGTAAACCAACATATGCATCCACCTAAATAAAAAAAAAAAATCACGTATTTACAAAGTTCAGTAATTGTATAAGTTGTTCACATGCAGAGAGTAATGCACAGGTTAACAATTGGTAGTGTTTGGATGCCATAAACGCTGAAAGCAGTGAAGTAGATAAACACCAAACACATCGAGTTTAGCTATAGGCCAGTTAACTAAACAGTGACCTGGTCCCCCACAAAGACTCACACATTCTAGTTTAGTTTCCTCATGATAGGCACAAGCAAGTTTGCTAAATAAAAGTAACTGTAGCAGTCCTGGAGAACTCGGGACTACAGTAGCAAGTTAATACACCCTCTCCTCTACAGCACCAGAGTATGGATTAATTGAAACCATGCTTCAGAGAACTGAAAGGGGACAGAAAGTTCAAATGTCACTTCAGACGGAAGGCAGGCAGCTGTAGTGTCTGCGCAGCAGCGCCAGAGCTGGGACAGGACAGTAAGGCCATGGCAGGCTGCAGTAACACTGGCTCTCAGAACAGAGGGGACAGGGCTGCTCCCAGGGGTGCAAACCACGCGAGGTGAGGAGTCACACACAGTGTGAGGCAACACAAGCAGCTGCACATGGATCTGCACACACCAGGAGCTACACTGACACTGCTGAAGAACAAACCAGTCCCAACAAGGCTGTCCCTTTAAATATGCTGAAGTCACTGAGAAAGTAAAGCTACAGAAACGTTACAGTCTTGAGTTTATACACACTTCCTAAGCTGCAGGAGCTAGTCAAGAGACAGGATCGATTCGTTGGCTCTCTTGTGCTTTGACACAGCAAAACATTTCATTGCATGTGACAGGCTTTGCACATGGTTACATCGAGAAAGCAGGCGGGTCTAGAGTTGTCACAATAGCCCAGGTATTCCATAGCACCAGGTGAAACTGTGCCCAGCCATTCCAGGAGCAGGAGAGACACTGACAATTACACACAGATTGTGCTAAAGGTCAACGACTGCCTCGATACAAGAGCATCAGTAATTTGGGTGTCATGCAGCTGCTCAGAATGCATGTTCTGGTTTCAGAGAGAGACCACGAGTATCTGGAGATAGAAAAATGTATTTGAACACAGCCTGATGTTCCTAGCGATTTGTTTTCATGCTGGAATACTCCAATTTTTGAAAGTTTGACATAACAGTCCATTCCCATCCCCCACGTAAATGTTAAACAGAAGCAACAGAATGATTTTAAACAGATGTCTTTCCTAATTCATCACGAGAGTTTTCTTTTTCAAGTGACAGGATCTCAGCTGTAGATTAGTGATGCTGATCTATGCCTTGTGCTCCCCTCTGCAAACAGTTTCCATTTCTCTGCTTACATACACACATCACATGCATCTGTGAGATCAATCAGTATCCCACAATTCACGCTTAAATGTTTTCTAACTACTGTATGTGGCATCTTACAGAATCTTAATGCTGTCAAGCATCAGCATCTTCAAGCCACTAAACACTAGAAATAAAACACTTGCTGAAAATCATATAAAAACCTGGCCCTGAAAAACCAGAACAGAGTGTACCATCGTAGTTAACATGGTAGAGATATTTCTTTAAAAAGCCCCCCCACGACCCTCCCACCACAGATGGTTGTAAAATAAATATTTGTGCTGACTTTATCATGACAACTCTAGTTGTTTTGTGACAGAATAGGAATACAAGTCTTCAGCAGTGCACATGAGAAATGAACCGTGAAAAGGCAGATTCTTGATACAGGATTTTGGGGTAGTATCTCATTATGGAGGGAAGTGGACAATTGAGATTATGGCCAACTGGTACTGGAGATTCCAGGAAGACTTCAGCTTCTTCTAGATTTTGAATGCTGAATAAGCCACTGAAGCGTGATATCTACAGGAGAGAGAAGAGAAGTTCCACATTCAAGTGTCTGTATCGGTGTAAGTGATAAGGCTTTGGTATCCCAGTGTCCCCAGCACAGGACAGGAATATCCCAGCCCTTCTCTAGAGGATGGCCAGGGCAGATGAGCACAATGATTTCCTGGATGTTTGCTGTCCTTGCTTTGCTCCTGTAACTGCTCAGCATGCTTTAGGTAACAATGACAGGCACTGCCCCACACATCCTGGTTCCTCAGTCCAGTCCATTTCTAGGAATAAGATATTCCTGCATGGGACACTTCACTGTGGCTCCAATAATTAGTTTCAGACCAGCAGTGCTCTGTTCAGCCAGCCTGCAGCTCCTGCCCTGATGAGCACAGAGCTGGCTGAGCCCTGTGGTACGAGGCATCGTGCTCCTCCCTGCCTGAAGGGGCTCTCCTAAGGAAGGGAAAGGCCCTGCCTTTTGCCTTGTGTGGATCTCCACAGAAAGGAGTCTCTGCTTCCATCCAGCATGTCTGAACATTGAACTGATGCTAAGGTGACAGAGTGGAAGCCACAAGTGCTCCACAGACTATTCCATTTTCCTAGAAAGAAGCTTTTTCCCCTATAAAGCCATCCTGGTATCCTTTAGAGCTTCTCCTGAGAGCATCACCCTGAAGTTTCCTCATCAGCAAACTCCCACTACCCTGGCAATGCACCAGTGTTAATCCCATGGCAGCCATAGAAGGCACCAGGAAAAGGGTGGAAAGTGTTGTTAAATTCCGTTTTCACTCAGCTGAGATGACTCAGTTTACTCACAAAGCTTATGGCAAATACCAGAGATTACAGGACATGGTTTCTGTTTGAACTCCCCAAGTTCTGAAGTAGATGATGTCTGTGCCAGAAAAAGGCACTCTGGCTGCAGGGGACTGGCAGATGCCACAACACAAACTGCTCTGATAACACAGCAAGGGAAGGTGATTATTTCAAGGGAAATAATCTTGGGGAATAAACTTGAGGAAAAACTTGCTGTGAGGACGTGGCATCCTGACCAAGTGAGGCAGAGGTGAGAGCACCTGACAGAAGTATAAAATCATTCAGGCCATGCCAATGGACTAGCCAGCTCTCTCCTACAAGCTGACTGAAGAAAGGGGCAGATTTCACAGGACTGGCATTTTTGGTAACTACAACCCCTAAAACTTTAACCCCAGTCAGGCCTCCTCACTGCCATCAGGAGTCATACTAAATTTAATCCATGCACTCACACACTGGTCCTTGATTTGTTCCTGGTTTCCTGAAGACAAGAAGTTTGTTTAAGAACTTAAAATCCCCCCAGTCCACCCTCAGACAGCACTTCATAATTCTCAGTGGTTTGGGTTGTTACCTATATTATCTTTCTCTTTGCAAGAAATTGAGTAGCAGCAGATTTCTCTGTCCTGAATAGCAGCAAGATTCCTAGGAAAGAGAGAACAGGTCAACACACATTTCACTGACACAAGGGCTCTTACTGACAATCTGAGCTGCTCCTCTGCCCCTTCCCCACACAACTTGTTCTGTACAATACTCAGTTACCTGCTCTTGCTGGGTTTTCCACTCATAAATGCGAGCTCCCTGATCTAATAACAACCCTATGTACATGAATTTATTGAGGAAGAGAAATGTTTCTTAGCAAGGGTTAGACTTACATCTTTTCAATTAGCTGTTTCTCATCCAAAGCATTAGGAAGGTCTCTCTTATTTCCAAGTACTAGAACCTGAAATCCAGAGAAGGAAATGGTTGTGGCTTTGCTTTAGAAAACCCCAAACAGACAAAAACCGCAATCAAAACCAGAAAACCAACAAACTTCAAGGGAGTCTCATGAGCAGTGTGGATCTGTCTATTAAATCTAATGGAATAAGATATTCACAGTTAAACCAGATCAATAAAGAAGACTGACCTAGTCACAGGGAAAGAGGGGGTACAAATAAACTGTTCTGTGCAAAGAGCAAGCAAAAGAATATGTCAGCTGATAAATCTGAGAACATTTGCAGCACACTCATTGAGATTCCCCAAACTTACTCTACAGTTCTGTACTACACTGTGGTTAACCTTTAGTCAACAGCACAAACTCATACTGTGGAATCCTCTAAACTTCTGCCTTAATTGTATTTATTATGTTTTGTGAGCACTGAGTGAAATAAGACCACTGAAGGTCAATAATTGGTTTGAGGCACTGGGGGCAGGCACTGTCCATGTCTATACTGACCAGTAAGGTTGGGCCCTATAATTCAGAGTTCAAGGCAGACTTCAGAGTTGCTCAAGTGTGCACATTCCTCAGAGACATTTAATGGTGTCTAAGGTGATGTTACTTACAGGGATTCCTTGTAGCTGGGGCTTATCTAGAAGATTGTGCAGCTCATTCCGAGAGGCTTCTATTTTGTCACGATCTGCAGCATCTACCATGTAGCTTTAAAGAGAATTTCAGGTTAGGTCAGCGACACTGAGCTCCTGCAGAAACATCACTTTTTTTTTTTTTTCCTTTACACTGCCAGGTTTGGGCACACTCAACAAGGCTTTCAACAGAGTCAGGATTTCTGAGCAAAGAATTTAGTTCTTTTAAAAAAATATTTTAAGACCAGAGCAGAAGGAAGATGCTTTGAGTTAGCACTGCCACCCAGTTCAGACAGGGAGGAGTTAGTACTCCAGATCAGACACTGATAACATAACCCATCTGAGCCCTGAACTGAAGGGTGAACAAGGTCCGTGTGGTTGCAGGGCAGGTTCAGAACCACAAGGAGAACTACAGAGTGAGGCATGCAGTGTCAGGGAGGCTCCCAGAGAAGGAAGGCCGTGTGAAGGAAGCAGAGCTGAAGGAAGGACACTTACACAATAGCATTAACTCCTCTGCAATATCGCTCCCACATGCTCCGGAATCGGGGCTGCCCTCCTATATCCCAAATCTTAAGGCAAGGGGAGAAAGACAATTTAGCCATGCACTGTGTTCAAACATGTCAGGCAAAGATAAGACAAGAAATCACTACAGCTTTTCCTTTCTCCTTAAGCAGCTGCTTGACCCCTCCCATGCTAAAACAGGAACAATTCCCTGCACAGCTGCTCAGAGCTTAGGGCCAGCAGCAGGAGGTGCAAACTGGAGCACCTAGCACCAGATGTAACAGCATCCTGTGTATGAAGGTTACATACTGAGCTACACAAGAAAACACAATGTATTCACTTCAAAATCCTTCCCCTAAGCAAACTGATGAGCAGGAAAGCAGCATCTCTGGGCCTCAAACACTCAGATCTAAGCCAGACAGCATCATCACAACAGTGCTTTAGCTAGTCCATGAACCTGGGAATCACACACAGATTCTCAATTCAGAAACTCCATAAATAAACATAAATGTCTTCTTAAGCTCGACAGATTTAGCTGAGCCTCTTCAGTGTTCTATATTCGCCTCAAGGCTGGAAGCAAAACAGAGCAAACATGTAAATTTCAAACTAGAACCTAAAGGAAACAGTCAACAATGGCAACATACCTTTATTGTAACATTACCCTTTGTAACCTTCCTCATGTTGAAGCCCACAGTAGGAATCATATCTTCACTGAACTGACCTGACTGGAAAAAAGAAAAACAGAGAAAGTTAAATTTAGTGCTTATCTGACACAAGTGGTTTACATAGTAAAATATCACAAGCTTTTTCTAACCATTCACCTCCCAACTGAAGGTTTTACGGCCAAGAAGTCGTGGATGTTAAATCCATGTGTACTGGAGCTTGTGTGCAGTCAGACAACTCATTTCTTACAAGCACTGAAATCGTTTTTCAAGCCCTGAGGCAGCCAGGGGAGCAAAGTCACCTGGGGAAGAGCTTTGCACAGCTCAGCAGATGGACAGGCAGGGCAAGGGAGGAAGGAGCCATTCACCTGCTGGAGCCAAGGCCTGCCCGTGGGGATCTCCCAGGTACCTGGGAGCTAGAAACATCCAGAAGGGCTCCCTGTGATGCAAGCTGCTCTCTGGCCAGCCTTTGCAGCAATCCATCACTCCTGTGGAGGAAGCCTCCAGCCCACAGGTATGGGGTGACTCCCTGAGGAGCGTGAGAGGCTGCAAAGTGGAAGGACCTGCCGGGTCAGCTTCCTGCAGGGCCAGTGTCCGGCGTGCGCAGCAGCGGGAAATGCAGCTCCAGAGGATCTGAGCCTGTTTCCAGCATCGCTCCCAGCTGGGACAGAGCTGCTGCAAGCGGCACTGCACTGGAGAGCTTCTCCAGCAGCAGATGTTTTACTGCCTGTAACACTTCCATCTGCAGCAGCCTGAGAGCCAAGTTCCCAACTAGCTCCTGCAGCCACAACAAGAGTTCTCAACACTACTACAGATTTCTCCCTTGGCTGTTTGGCAGAAGGTGAATCAGCCACAGTGGCCATTACGAAGCTCACTACATCCATTATGTGTAATAGAAACAGACAGTCAAGCACACTTGGAAAAATTAGGGTTGATCCCAAAGCATTCAGTTGTTTAATTAGGGTTTGGTATCACAGCAGCAAAGTCTGCATCTCTCCCCTGACACTGGCCAGAGAAGTTTCCTGGGGTTCAAAGGCTTTGGGGATCTCTGAAGCAGGCACACCACCCCAGAGTTAGGGCCTGACTGCCCACAGGCTGCAAGGAGCAACTCCAGGTGGCCATGAAGGGCAGCAGCTCCTGGCTTGTATCCGGAGCAGTGTGGGCAGCAGGACCAGGGCTGCACGAGGAGCTTGGGTCAGACCTGCAGCACTGCTCCAGAAGCCACTCTACCCCTTCTAACGTGGCAGGGCGGGTGCCCAATGGGAATGCCAGCCCAGGAAATGCCCATTCCTGCCCCAAATGCCAGGGCCTGAGCTGCCCATTGCAGCCAGAGTGACCAGCACAGCCCAGAGCCCATGGTCAGCTGTGCTGCCACGCCTGGGCAGCTCAGCTCAGCTCCTCAAACCAACCTTGCCTCTCAAGGGTCACTTGCCAGTCGCTCAAGCACCACAGCATTCCTGCCTCCACATTCCTGCCTCCAGTCACATCCCACACCCACAGCTCCTATCCCAGCGTCTCCCAAGCACTCCCTGAGCCTCCACCTCTGCTGCTGAGCCTTACCCCACATGCTGCCAACTATTCCCACTCAGATCCTTCCAGATCCTTCTCTCGAGAGCTGTTCTTATCAATAGGAACACACATTCCAGGAACCCGCAGGACTCATCACTTCCCTGCTGCGTTTATTTCCAGCAGACACGTGGGAAGCTGAGGTGTCCTATGAGAACAAGGCCTAGCCACAGTGAGACTGCTCCCAGCAGCTCGAGGAGGATTTTGGTGCCTCTTCATCCTGGGCTGGGTGGTCTAGAGGAGACTCCCACTGGGATATCTGCCTTGTTGGCTGATTCCTGCCCATAAACCACCTTATCGTGATCCTCATCAAGCTCTAGGCTGCCCAAACACTCCCTGCCCATCCCTGTGAGGAGTTTACAGCCCTCCCTTGCAGCACTCCCTGTGCCAGTCATCCCACTAATTGCAGCACCCATTTCATGTTCTCCCACTGCTCTTTCAGGCCACAGATTCCTGCAGATTGGAGCAGCGCTTCATTTGCCACAAATTTAATGTAATGTTGAAATTACTGTGACCCGCCACAGGGAAACTTTTACAGAATCTTCAGGAAAGCTGCTGCATCTGATTCCTTCCCAAGTGCTCACTACCCACGCTGCACATCCCCTGACTTGTTCTGACTTGCTTAAAACCTCAAACCCTTAAACCTGCAGTCACCCAGTTGAGTTTCAGCTGTTCTCTGCTTTGCAGAGGGATGATCCAGAGCTGACATGAACACACGGGTCAGCTCAGGTCTTCATTTGAAAGACCCTCCCCTGACATGAGTGTGGGTGTTCCTCTGCTCACTGGACCCAGAAGAAGCTATTGGAAGTCCCCTTCTCTTTTAAGACAGGTCAAAAATTGGTTAAAACGATTGTAAAGGATTTTAGCAGCAGACAGTGATCTCCTTTGATGGATTCTGCTACCACATTCAACTGCCTTGGCCCAGAAACTGTTCTCTACACTCAGAATTTAGAGGGCTTGTGTTTACTACCTCCTCAGAGGAAAAAAGCCAGGAATTCAGCTTCAACTTGGTGTATTCATATGCAAAAGCTACTCGAAGAGCAGCACAAAAGGAACATACTTTTACTAGCAGTCACTTGGTTTGAATCAGCCTTCCCTCCCAGAGCAGAGTGCTCGGTGCTGGTGCTATCGCTGTGTGCTCACAATTAGATGCTTTCTCCTGAAACACCAGCTTTAAAACAAGCTTGATATGCACAGCAATATTGTCGATTGCCGATGGGAAAGCCTCTGGCTGCTGTCACACACGCTCATCAAGGACAGCAGCCTTGTTCCCAGCACGGCAGCCCACCCCAGCAGGGCTCCGGAAGGGCAGGAGCTGTCCCAGCAGCGACTCTGCTGCCAGCCTCAGCCCCGAGGTCACACAGACACAGCACCAGCACAAACCCAAGGTCACCAAACAAAGTTAACTCCAAGCCTGTGGGAGATAAGGGCCGGGGAGACTAAACAGAGCCATTTCAGAGGCCACCAAGAGCCCCCAGGACCAATCCTTCAGCCTCCTGGTTTGAGAGATGCTCCCTTCAAAGCTCCTGGAGAACCCAAACATGAGATTTTAGTGCAGCATGAACCCACTTACCCAGATGAGTACTTATTATTGAGAGCAGCAGAACTGCATCCAGACTGAACTAAGGGACTTTATTCCGTGGATCAGTTTGGGTTCAGCTCACCCAGTATCAGTGGCAGCACTAAAGCACAGACTGCAGCATTTCTGAGCAAGCCAGCTACAGGTACAGCTCATTTCCCAGAGGAAAACTTTGGACAAGTGACAACTTGTCATCTCCTGACATTCCAGAAGTGTATAAGGATGCAAGTTTAGTCTCTTCTATAATTTAATTAATATTACAACAACCTTATTAAACCTACCATTTCCAGTTGTCTCGAGTCAAACCATAAACCAAACAAAACACATTTTGGTTTCTTCATCTGCCTCTCCAAAACCATAAGCTACAGCCAGAAACTCAAATTCCAGGGAGTTATAGAGCAGTAGAGTGGTTTCACTTGGGAGGAACCTCAAAGCCCATCCAGTTCCCCCCTGCCACGGGCAGGGGCACCTTGCACTGCCCCAGACTGCTCCAAGCCCTGTCCAGCCTGGCCCTGGACAGCCCCCTAAGCAGCTTGATTCTGATTGCACAGCCTGCACAAGGACATTGTTTGTATCATCAGAGAAGGTCAGGGCAGCCTTTAGTTTGCATCTCATAAAGCTGACATGATTCATTACTGTTACAGGACCCATTTCTTCATAGGGACTCTGTATCACACAGGAAAGATTGTTTTATCTTTAATCATAATACCTTTCATCCAGCTAGATGAGATCACAAACAAGCTTAACCAACTCAGAGACAACACCACTGGAGTATGGAATGCAGCCAGGACACTCCCAATCCACCTGAACCAGAATATTACACTAAACCCTGCTGCTCATCCCTAAAAATTTCTTTCTTTTTACACTAAGAAAAAATGCTGCATGTCTCCAAAATGGCTTCTTAAAAAAATTATTTAAAAAGCAGTGCAATTTTAGCATTATATCAAGCTACCCCTACACTAAGCCTCCTCTGCAACACTCATAGCCTCAACCAAGCAGTGCCTCATAAATGGACAAATCAACTTTCTACAGGCCAGCTTCCTTCTTTAGGAAATACTTCAGTGTTCCAGCCACTTGAGATCACGATCAGAAGCCTGAACTCCAGATTAGAAACTTAATCCCTGAAAGGCTTCCCAACAGCACTTCCAGGAATGATTCCTGCAGAAACCAAAACAGTGGTATATGACAAGAAAAGGCATTTTTATTTCCCCAGCCCTGAGTTTAACTGAATGTTTAACAAGACATGGACTGCTTAGCAAATATTGACCATAAAGAAGGCATATGTCTGTCTAGAAGGCAGTCATGTAAGAGCTCAGGACATTTCATGTTTCTGATAGTCAAGAAAAATGTCCTTATCCAGATGTTACCACTTAAAGCTCTGCCATTGCTTACCAAGTGCTCTAAAGGAACTCAGTACCAAGATGGAAAAAGGAGATTCTGATTTCAGTCACCTGTTTTAGCCCATCTAGGGTGCAGGCAGCAGGACCTCAAAGAAAAGGTCTGAGTCACCTCCTAGGAGCTTTATTAGCTAATGAAGTGATGCAATGCATTTCAAGAGACTTCTGCCATTAAGAAACACTTCAAATTTTATCAGCCTTCTCCCTTAGCCACGGTGTGTATGAAGTGACAACACACGGGATCTATGGCCTGCCTGGGTATTCAAGAGGCATTAAAACAGCAGTGCAGCTCTTTAGAGCAATATTTTCCTGCACTTCTCTGGTGCGACTTCTTCAAGCCTAAGTTACTTCTAACAGCCATGAGAACAGAAGGAAGTTGCAGCTCCCAGCTGGCCAAACGAATCTTTCCTTGAGAGGCACTTCAGGAATTGCCTCTCTCTAGAAACCACAGTCTCATTCCAACACTTGCCAGATATTCCAAAGTTAAAAATCCAACCACACTAATTCAGGCTCTGACACAAATCCTAAAGAGGGACCTTATTTACCCTGTCACCACAAACAGCTTGAGTTTAGCTCTTTAACCTGATAACCATATCAGAAAAGTCCAACTTCTTCCCACTCCTCCAGATCTCTGCTCACTGACTATCAGGCTAATGAGCTTCAGTGCCAAACACCTGGATCAAGGATCAACCTGCCAGGCATCAGGGAAGGCTTCTACAGAAACCCCAGTGCACGCCACTATTCCGTGCAATAGGCTGTGGAGGCTGCAGGGGGGCCCCACTATTCCCCAGCTGCAGGGGTGTCCCGTTGTTCCCCGGCTGCAGGGGAGCCCCGTTGTCCCCCATCTGCACGGGTGCCCCACTGTTCCCCAGCTGCACGGGTGCCCCACTGTTCCCCAGCTGCAGGGGAGCCCCGTTGTCCCCCATCTGCACGGGTGCCCCACTGTCCCCCAGCTGCACGGGTGCCCCACTGTTCCCAAGCTGCAGGGGTGCCCCGTTGTCCCCCAGCTGCAGGGGAGCCCTGCTGTCCCCCATCTGCAGGGGTGCCCTGCTGTCCCCCATCTGCAGGGGTGCCCTGCTGTTCCCCAGCTGCACGGGTGCCCTGCTGTTCCCCATCTGCAGGGGTGCCCTGCTGTCCCCCATCTGCAGGGGTGCCCTGCTGTCCCCCATCTGCAGGGGAGCCCTGCTGTCCCCCAGCAGCACACCTGCAGGGCCGTGGGCAGGCTCAGCTTACTTGAGTCGTGTTTCAGTGGCCTCACACGGCCCCAGCAGCCCCTCGTGCTCCCCACAGCAGCATTGCCAGCTCCAGCTCTGGGCTGAGGGAATGGCCACGAGCTGCAAACACCAGCAGGTCCTGCAGAGGCTGTAAATAATGGGCATTCGCAGGGCTCGGCTCAGGAGCCGACAATCCCAGATGCGATCCCGGGATGACACGCAGTTTCTGTGAATAAGAGCCACAGGCCAATCCACATTAGGGAAATTAGGACCAGGAAGAAATTATATCCTCCCTTGTGAGCAAGTTTACTCACACACATGGAAAACTTATGCTTAATATCTAATTAGAGACAGTGACTAATGCAGAGCCTTAGAAAAGCAGAAGCTGCATTAGCTGAATCCAGCTCTAACGAGATTTCACTGCTAATGTTGGGTTTTAAACCTCCTAATCAAACTGAACACAGGAGGGTTGGGGTTGGGAGGGACATTCAAGCCCATCCAGTGCCACCCCTGCCATGGCAGGGACACCTCCCACTGTCCCAGGCTGCTCCAAGCCCTGTCCAAGCTGCCCTTGGGATCCAGGGGCAGCCACAGCTGCTCTGGGAACCTGTGCCAGGGCCTGCCCACCCCCAGGGAAGGATTTATCCCCAATATCTAATCTAACCTCTCCATCTCGCAGTTCAAACCCATTCCCTCTTGTCCTCTCTCCAGGCCCTTGTTTAGCCTGATTACAAATCAAGTGTTTGTTTACACTGGAGGAATAAACGTGATCAAAACCCACCACCGATCTAGAAGAGGATTATTCTAGAACTGGACTGTCTGCCTCTCGTGGCCTGTCCACTGCAGCAGCAGCCAGGCCCTGTACCAGCTTCCCTGTGTAACTGGGTGAGTTTTCCCTCTGGTTCCATATGCCTGATTGGATGGGCAGAGATTACATTAGACATTTATATTGGATTAAACTCACTGCTGGCAGACTGGCAGCAGCCTTTTGTTAGGCAGCACACAACCTCCTGAGCCACAGCAAGCTCCTGGTGAGCACTCCAGCCTTTGGAGCTGTCCTACAGGACATCTTGCTGTGTCATTCCTTCATTTCAGTTTTGAGGAATCCCAACAGCCTCATCCACCCAAACCATTAACTGGCCTGCACAGAGCAGTTGTTCTTTTCCTGCACTCATCCCCAGATACAGACTCTGAACTGAAGTCAGTCAAGGAAGCAAATAAGGAAACAGCTCTGCGTGCCATGGACTGCACTGCTCTGAAAAGTGATTTTGCACTGGAAGCTGAAGCTTATGCCATTATTTTGTTTAAACCAATAATACAGACCTGGGCAAACCCTTTCCCTCTGCTTTTTTGTGTAAAGGCTCACCAGATTTCCTAATTAAAAACTTCAGAAATGTGACCTGATGCTCCCAAACTAAACCAGCTAAGGAGGCTGGGTCAGCACGCTCAGCAGCTTCCTCCCTGTCCGGGGTTTTGCAAGGCTCCCTGAATGGCACTCACTCAGATGAATGCCTGGGTGTGATCCCAACATGTGGCTGAAACCGTGCAAGATCCAACCCCCGCAGAGGAGGCGGAAACAGCTCCAGCTTTACTTGGGGAAACTTCTCCAACTGGAGACAACTTAGGTGCAGTTACTACAGCTGTGACTGCTGCACATACCTGCAGTGAGTTTCACAGGTAACTCCCCCAACTCGTGCTGCTGCTACTATACAGAAGCAAAGCATTTTTTGGTCAAGTGTCATCACCAGGAGGACTCCAGATGATTAACAGCCTGCCCAGAGCCCCCAGGTGCAGAAACACTCCAACAGTACCAGCTCAGCAGCCACAGATTGAGGCTGTACAACACTCTCAGAGCTCCATTTCTACAAATCCAAGCCAAGATGTATTGATAGAGTGTGAAAGAAAAGGTTCCTGTCATTCCTGGGTTATTCCAGCAACTTTTAGCTGGCAACAAGCCAGAGAAGTTACCTTTCATGAAGTAACCCATTTTCCATGATCATCAGGAGCCCACTGAGTGCTCACACCTGAGCTACACGAGGGCTTGGTTATGGTTTGCCAGGATGTTTGTCAGTGTGCAAGGATGATGCATAACTGCAAGAGAATGAAAGTCCTTTTCCCAGCCACTAACTCATTCAACTGGCACTTAAATAAATACAAATTTACAAGTATTCCATGGTGCTAAGGACACAGCCTCAACAACCAAGAGACAAGCTGAAGGTGTGCTCACTCTAAAGCTGGAGACATCAGCTTTCTGATTCCGGTGCACTGCACTCAGGTCACCCAGACTCCCTGAAAAACCAAAAGACCCCTGGCTGCCCATTTCAGGAGCTGCCAAAGTCCAGCTTGTCTCCTGGAATGTTTTCCATCCCATTCATCAGCAGAGCAGGACACTGATGAAGTTGAACACGCCATTTAGGCAAAGCCACTCTTTATCTCGTTCAACAATGGAAAAGCTTCGTGTAGGAGTATTCCCACACCCTTCCTTTACCTGCTCCAGGCACATCACCAGATCAGCAGGCCCCAGTGCTGATGGGCTGCTGATGGGCTTGTAAGCTGTAGTTCTCGGGTAAGTTACCCCTTAAGAGAAAGATTATTTGATATGGGTTCCAGCAATCGATCAGCAAATATTTGAGAGGAGAACCGTGAGTAGGTGCTAACACTTAAGTGATTTAGGACTACCGAAAAGCAGTCAAAGGGAGGCGGCAGCTGAAGACACACACAAAGTTATCTCCACATCTGCTAAGAGAGCCCCGCCACACCGACACCCTGACTGAAAGGCGCCTTCCGAGCCCGCTGTGGGGCCGACCCTGCTGGGGGATCGGTGGCACCACGGATCCCCAAAGGTTTACGGAGGCACGGCAGCCCCCGAGGCTCGGCCGTAGCCCCAGCGAGGGCTCACACGCTGCTCCCCGCGGCCCGGCCCGGTCCGGTCCAGCTCCATCCCCGCAGCCCCGGCCCCGCTCCATCCCCGCGGCCCGGCTGGGCCTGGCCCGGCCCCGCTCCATCCCCGCAGCCCGGCCCCGCTCCATCCCCGCGGCCCCGGCCCGGCTCCATCCCCGCAGCCCGGTCCCGCTCCATCCCCGCGGCCCGGCTGGGCCTGGCCCGGTCCCGCTCCATCCCCGCGGCCCCGGCCCCGCTCCATGCCCGCGGCCCCGGGCCCAGCTCGGCCCCCGCCCGCCCCGCTCACCGCGATGACGTTGACGAAGGTGGTCTTGCCCGAGTACTGCAGCCCCACCAGGGTCAGCTCCATCTCCTCCTTCCAGAAGAGCGAGCGGAACCAGTCGAGCAGCCGGGACAGCAGCGCCAGCATCGTGGCGGCGGGCGGGCGGGCGGGCCGGGGGCGCTGCGGGCCGGGCCGGGGGCGCTGCGGGTCGGGCCGGGCGATGGCTCCGGCGGGCCGGGACGCTGCGGGCCGGGCTGTGCCGGGCTGTGCCGTGCCGAGCCGCGCTGGGCTGTGCCGGGCGCTGCTCTCGGCCGCTCCGGGACAGCCGCGCTCGTCCGGGCCCGGCTCCCCCCGCCGCCCTCACGTGACGCCGCGGTCACCCGGCCCCGCCGGCCCCGCCCCGGCCCGCAGCGCCCCCTGGCGGCCGGAGGACCCGCGGCGGGACAGGGCGGGGCGGGGCCGCCATGGTGGGTGCGGTGAGGAGTGACACCTCCCTGATCCCGCCATGGTGGGTGTGGCGAGGAGGGTGTGACACACCTGAGCCGCCATGTCGGGTGTGGTGAGATGTGACACACCTGAGCTGCCATGTTCGGTGTGGTGAGGAGGGCTGTGTCACCCAAGCCCACCATGGAGCAGGGTGGGCGGTGGTGACACCCGTGACCCTGCCATGGAGCAGGCTGTGCCCTGCCTTCTCCATCACAGGCTCCATTGGGTTGGGGAAGACCCCCAAGGTCATCGAGTCCAGCACCACCTTGTCACCCAGACCTTGTCACTACATCCAGTCGTTCCTTGGACACCTCCCGGGATGGAGACTCCTCCACCACTCTGGGCAGCCCCTTCCAGCACCTGACCACCCTTTCCACGAAGAAATTCCTCTTGGTGTCCAACCTGAGTGTTCCCTGGCACAGATTCCGTCCGTGTCCTCTTGTCCTTGCCTACTATGGTGGGGATGGGGTAAAGGTGCCAACCCTCACCGCTCACACACCATCACTGCAGTGCTGTGAGGGCCCCTCAGGGCCACCCACAAATCCAATCCCAGCTCGCAGAGGAATAAGGATTAAAAAAACTTCAACTGCAATATTCCCAGTTAGCCCAAGTATGTTTTAATCAAGTGAAATACAAAACCTTTTGTGTGCTCACAGAACTTCCAAAACCAAAGGGACAAGCCACTTCACCTCGTTATTCCCAGTTACCTTCACATAAATCAGACGTTCTCCAGAAGTTCCTGCCTTTTGCATGGACTTTGGTAAACTGACTTTCTACTTGAGCCAAATAAACTATGAGTAGATAAGTAGTATCTAAACAGGTAACACTGACCAAACCACTCAATGAGGTGCATTTATCACAACTTATTGAGGTCACTTTAGTTTCCAGCGGGAAGCACTTCCGAGTGGAGTTGAAAGAGCAGCACACATTGCATGGACTTTAGGGCTCTTGTCACTGTAACTGGGGTTATTTCAATTCCCAGTCAAAGTAAGGCCAAATTCACAAATTTTGTGGCTCCAGCTCTCTGGGGAGTTACACAGTGGCTTGTGCACTGTGAGGCCAGGCAGGAACAAATGGAGAGGGAGCAGAAAAAAAATCACAAGGAAGCTACAGGATGGGACTAATTGGTCTCTGCTCACAGGGCCTTGCACAGGAGGAGCAGCGAGTGCTGCACACAGAGAATAAATCCCATTTCCATCCCTCCTCAGGCTCACAGGGCTGGGGAAGGCACTGCCTTCAATTGCCACAGCTCTGCCACGCTGAAATGAGGAATTCCCTGCTCCCAGCAGCAGGGAAGGCATTTGTGCCTGTGCTTTTCCACCCCAAAACACGGCTTTCCTTTGTATCCATATAAAAAGCCAACTAATATACTCCTTCCAATTAAGCTGAGATATGAACTGCACTTTGAAAGTTCTTAATCCATTCTCTGGTTCATTAACTCAGAAAATTTCATCCCCATGGTTAGCCCTATCAGAGAGGATGGAATGCCTGGCACCAATTAGTTCTAATAACGAGCTAAGTTGTGCACAGATTTCGGAGCCTGTCATTAGTATGAGAAAATAGGACAGCTCCTCTCAGAGCAGAATATCTTACGGGCTCTTCCTTTAATTTGTGTCTGGCTGACGCCTCCTCCCGCAGACAAAGGAGCTAATTGATTTGATGAGTTACAGAGCCTGCTGCGTGGCACCTCCCCTGCTGCCCAGCCAGGAGCTGCAGCCAAAACACAGTGACAATATTGCTCTGAGCTCCTGCTCTCCTGCTCCTTCACACTCCGTGCTCCAAGGAGCCAAACACACGTGCCCTGGGAGTGCCCTCTGCTCGTTTGGGTGCTGATTTTCTCCCAGGATTCAGCTGAGTTATAAAATGTTATAATAGAAAATGATGTAAATTTTAATCTTATAATATATTTATATTTATGTTTATATTTATATATATTATATATAATATTATATACTATAATTATATATAATATATAATATAATTATATATAAATTATATAATCTCATATTATTTATATTCTATAATAATATAACTTATATAATATATAAATATTACCTATTATTATAATAATTTATAAATTAATAATGATGTCATTAATATAATAATTTCTAGATTAATAAAATCAATATTTATAGACATCTATATTATAGAAATAATTTAAATTATATAAACTGTAAAATAGATATTTTACTTTCATAATATAAATTATGTAAAATGTAATAATATAGAAAATATTATAAAATGTCGTTGTATACAATTATAATATTAATAATATAGATTAATAATTATAATTATTTAATATATTATATTACATTATGTCTTAATTTATATTAATAGTAATAATAAAATTATATATATGATATTATATATTACTATATGATGCAAAATGTAATAATATAGAAAATATTATAAAATGTCTTAGAGACTGTGGGTGCCTCCCAGGTTGGGATCCTCTTTTGAGGAGGGAGGGAGAAGCTTTTTGATTTGGGGAATCTGAGGGCTGTGAGGACAAACAGGAGCCTCTCTCTGCAGTGCCGGCAGGCAGCTGGGGGCTCTTTCCAGCTCTGCTCTTTCAAGACTCACTGAAAATAATATCAAAAGAAACGGAGGCAGATGATAGCAGATACAAGATATGTGTCTTCTTATGTTACAGCCTCTTAAAGGAAAGGGTACTGTTAGTGGTCACCTCTAGAGAGATGGACATTAAATAGCTGGTTCCTAAAGCTGCCACAGCCTGTAAGTGTCCTCCTGTCATTCTATGCAGCATTTTAGTACTGCCACAGCATAAACAGTCATTAAATAACCCGAGGAGGCAAAGGAAGGACTTCTCTGTGTCTTCCTCACTTCTGTCCTGAAAAAATAAACGTGTCAGTTGTGCTGTTACTGCTTGAGCTAAAGCAAAAGTATTCCTTTGCCATGAAGAGCGAGACACACGGTGAAAATTAAACCATAACTTATTCCCTCAGAGATGTTTGCACGCTGCCAGCATGCCACAAAACCCTGCCTGTTTCTGCAGCCCAGGAAAGCACCCGGTGGGGAGGAGAGGGGAGGCAGGAGGGCAGCCCAGCCCTGCTTCCCCAGCAGCCAGGGCAGCAGCGTGACTGCTGCGCGCGGCCTGACGTGAGCAGCAGGATCCCATTTCCAGAGCCACGGGCTCGCTGCCCTGCAGCAGGGTCGGGGTGTCAGTCAGGGCTGCGTGCTCGGACACCGGGGTGTCTCCAGGAGTGCCTGCAGGTGACAATCCTCATCCCAAGGTGACCTGGTGTCACTTCGCTCTCCACACACCTCCCTCACCTTGCAGCAAGGCTGGAAACGTGGCAGCTGGGTGGCCGGCAGGCTGTGCAAGTGTCTGTCACTGCCAGGGACAATATAAATGATGGCACTCGCTCCAGCATCTCGGTTTCGTAGGTGCTGGCAAACACTCCCCAGCAGGAGCTGCTGCATGCAAGTGATGACCTTTAGGAATGCTGGCATCTCCCGGTGCTGAGGGAGCAGGAGCATGAATCAGCAGAAGGGAGCAGGGGAAAAAAAAAGAGGTAGTTAAAAAGGAGGCTGCTGTTAGCAGTAAATTAAATAAAATTCTCCTGGTCCTCCAGTCAGATTTATTAGCAGTGACCTTGGCACTTGCAGAGCCCCCTGCACAAAAGCCAGGCCCACGCTTGCAGATTTAGTGCACACTCAGGGCCTTGGCCAGCCCAGTCGCCACATCTCACCCTTTCTGTGATTTAAATTTTAAACCTACAAGGAAACAAACCCATTCTTCCAGCCTGGGCACAAACAGCCTCCAAGAGAGGCTCTGAAAGGCGGGCACAGAGCCCTGGGCTCCAGCCCTGCACACACACCTGTATGAGCAGATTCAGGGGAGCAGCACCTTGGGAATGCCACAGCAGGGACTCCTTGGTGAGACTGAGCCATGAGCTGCCCACCAGGCGCCACGCACATGTGCCAGGCCAGGGGAGGCGTTTCTGCAGCCCCTGCTTTGGGACAGAGCTCCCTCCCAGCTGCCAGGCAATATCCAAACAGTGCTGCAGCCCCTCTCCTGACAAACCCCAGTGCCCACCGTCCGGGCTGCCCTGTGCATTTCAGGTGTTGTGCAGCTCATGCCCATCAGCCGTGGCCCCTGGCACACCTGGGCACCACCTGGGCTATGCAGCAGCCCTGAACCCAGCAGCACAGCACTGAGCCCGCCTGTGCAATTCTGTTTATTCCTGCCAGGATCCTCTGTCTGCTGCGAGACCCTGCCACACCACCAGGACCAGCCTGAGCCTCGGCTCTGGGTGCTGCCCCTGCCTCACTTATCCCTTCCCACCCTGGGAAGTGGGGTTGTGCCTGGCACAAAGATGTGTCCCAGTTCTGCACAGCCTGTCCCCAGCAGGAGCCCTCTCACTGCGACGGGCACACGACAGAGCCCGGACTGGACGCTGCGATGTCCCAGCAGGTCCCACTTGTGTTCTTGCACTCTAATTTCCCCTTTTCCTCTCAGGTTTTCCCCTTGGCCAGCGGCTCTGCTGCCTTTGCTTGGATTTTCCAGCAGAGGGGGATGCAGCCTCAGCAAAGCCGTCCTCCTTCCCCGAAGGGTTTGGCTGTGTCCTCACCTTCATCCTCACCCTCTGCCTGCCCTGGCTGGGCTCCCTGCCCAGCACAGCCCCTGGCTGGCAGTGCCAGCACCCTCACCCAGCCCTCCCTGGCACACGGGCAC